ATTTGTCCTGTTTCCAATGTAACTTTTCATCTTAAGTCCAAGGAGCTACATTGTTGAAAACAGCAGCAAATTATTAATTGCCTGGCATAGAGGTGTGGTAAACAAACAAACGTAAATCAAGTCCCATGACTGAAGGAATACTGGTATGAATTGCCTTAAGGGAATGCTAAGACTAGGTCTCACTCATAGAGGTAACCAATATAAAACATTAGGGAAAAGACAACCAACTGCTTCGTTTTGAACTGACTGCAAGCTAACAGTGAGGAGAAAACAAGGCAAACTGGAAAGAAAGCTCTTACAAAGCAATATGGATATCTTGCCACTGTGAATGTTTGGATGTTTTGTTCTTTATTTATTATCATTCTAACACTTGTGCTCAACATATTGACATCACAGTTTACATTATTGCTTTATACTGGGGCAAATGTTGACCTTTCTATTAGTGTACAGTTATGTCATTGCACAGTAGTGACAAGTTACTGCCCAACTTTCCTACTGTCTACTGCTTCCAGTAACAGACAGTGCCATAAATTTGGCAGGACATGAAATGCCATTTCAGGCTATATTATAGCACCATAAGAATGTGACTATGATGTGGAAAAAAAAAACTACATTTTCATCACACATTAACAAATTTTTCCGTGGTACAGGATGCAAACCTCCTCCAACTAAAACAGAAAACAGTCTCACATCACAATATATCTTAACAAAAGTTTATACTGATGTTTTATAGAACATTTATTGAAAACAGACTACTTCAGTTAGGCAATAGCTGGAGTAATATGAAGAATTGAACTGCTCATTTGTTCAGAGACCAAGCATGCCAGTGCATGGAAATATTAGATTAGCTTGTTCCTCTAGAGTGCTTGAGCAGTGTACATCCCAGTGATCCTCCATATTGGTTTATCAGAAACAGCAGTAGCATAGAAACTTTTTTCATTAAGGTATGTCTTCATTTAGCTATCTAGCAATTCCAGTTTAAAAGGGTAAGTCTGCACAAATGTTCTGCAATTGAACCCATCTTTCAACACTGCTTATTTCACTTAAAATGTCAACCTTAAAATGCACTTTTAAAAAAAAAAATATCCTTAGTGTTACCACCACCTTAGGCTATTAAAGCAGACTTAAAATATCTCATGTGTGTCTTCCCCAATTAAATTGTTTACTTTTGAATTTCTTACCCCATACAAAGAGTTTTCGCCTTTCTTTGTTGGTGAGCTTCTAGTTAATTTCAGTTTAATTTTCTCATGGAGTAACACCATGTTTAAAAATGTAGTGGAAAGTTTGTTAAATAGGTTCTATGGAAAATTTAAAAATAGAAGCACTTGTGTTGGTCTTAAATTTCATTTGAAAAAAATTGGCTTTTTGCAAAATGTTACTTTAAGACCAAACTTTACTTGAGACAATGTCCCGTGAATATGTTAAAAGGGAGAAAAGTTGGAAAAATTTTGTGTTATATTTCCAAGAATTGTCAAATACATATATTAAAACTTGAGGTGTATCTAATAAACAGTATTATAAAAGTAACGGGGACTTTAACCAAAACTTTAATTTTAGGGATGCTTTGTAACCAAGTATTCACAATTAGTTTCAATGCTATGCACACTGACTACATCCAGTTAAACAGGTCATTGCACAGTTCCAGTCTATATCATCTGTTAAATTAGGATTGTCATTTCATAGTATGAATTAATAGTTAATATAAAATCTTGTTAACTAGACTTTGCAAGACAATTTTGCCTCTAGCAAATACCCACCCCACGCACAATCTTTGCTCTGTTTTTACACTCTATCCTAACTAGTTACCAATACATACAATTAACCTGCTACATGCAAAATATGTACTTAATAGTACAAAACTACATACAAATTCTAGTTTTTAAATGCTCAGGAAACAATACATTGGGAACTAGAAAAATATAGAATACACTCAGTTTAAACAATTATTACATGTGACCTAACACATCCATACATTTGACTACATAGCTTTTCCATGTTTAATGATGGTAGCTTTATTCTTAATTTGTGTTTTGTCATGATTTTCAGCTCATGGTTTTGATTTTAAGAAGTGATGACAAACCTTCGACTGAACTCAGTCTAGACCAGCGGTTTTCAAACTGTGGCTCGCAACCCCATTTTAATGGGGTCACCAGGGCTGGTGTTTAGACTTGCTGGGGCCTGGGGCCAAAGCCGAAGCCCGAGCCACACCTCCAAGGGCTGAAGCCCAAAGACTTCAGCCCTGGGGAGTGGGGTTTGGGCTTTGACTTCAGCTCTGGGTGGCAGGGCTCAGGTTTCAGGGCCCCTGCCCGGGATAGTGGGGCTTGGACTTTGCTCTCCCCGCCTCCTGCCCAGGGTGGCGGGACTCCGACTTCAGTCCCCCTTCCTGGGTCATGTAGTAATTTTTGTTGTCAGAAGGGGTCATGGTGCAAGGAAGTTTGAGAGTCCCTGGTCTAGGCTCTATCCTAAGATGGCTTAGCTCAGATTTCTTTTGTGCTATATGAAATCTGAAATTGCATAGGACAGGGCTTGAAAAATCCTTTCGCCAATAGCAAGGAGGAAGTTCTTCCTGGGAGTAAAGGAGCTTAACATACCAATTTCTGTGGAATTATAGGTTTAGTCTTTTTTCCAATTACATTTCTAGCCTTTACAGTTGCAAAAATAATCTTCCAAATGTAAGGATGACAAAACTGGATTGCTAGGCTCTGCAGTGAGTTGGCTCCAGCTCCTCTGTTATTGTTGCTGCTTGTATCTTTGCCAAACAGCAGCACAGTGAAATTAACAATCATATGGCCAGTTTCACTGATTCTGTTCAGCAAGCTGTTGTCCTCAGTGAAATTCAAACATCATATCAATTTCATGCTGCTATTCCTGAGGAAAGCTATAAGCAGCAGCAACAAGGTAAGCAATAGAGTTATTTAAGGTGGAGAAACTATATGGAAACTGGGGGCCAGGTAGAATCGTGAAGAGCTCATTCCTTAGCAGCCAGGAGTGGGCGGGAAAGGCAGAACCCTAGAGATCTGACCCTCCACCTGAACATTATTTATGGGAATTTCTAAACTTACAAGACACTTAATAGCCACAGACTAAACAAAAGATGGTGCCCCAAACCAGGACAGGAATCCTGGGACCTTGAGTATAGGTGCTCAGCTACCATTTTAATGGTCACCATTATGAAATTCCCAGCAGCTGGGGGTGGCAGAAAAAGTAGGCTTCTTGCTAGTGGTGTTCCCCTGCCTATGATATTTTACATTTAGCTTTTGTAGTAGGTTAAATGTCCACCTAATGGGTGTCTGGTAAATTTTCAAGAACTGGGACACAGTGTTAGCACGTCTTAAACAGTTGCTACAAGGGCAATTACAATCAGTCTTGTAAAAATAAAGTAAGGATGCTTTTGGGAGAAATCTACCACCACCTCAAAATGTACTGTTTATTTAGTGATGAGGCAGGTTTTCAAAATCAAGGAATTAAAGTGATCTGGAGTTTCTAATCATCCAATTGGAAGCGCTTCATATTTTTTCACTTGTATTTATATTGTGGTGAAAAACATGGAATAAGTCTTTCATGAATGAAATCATACTTTAATCCACATTTGTTAGAGCTCTATTTCTATATTTTTGATCACTAGCAGTTCTATTTTTTTCACTATATTAAGTAAATTTGAAACCAGCAAAACTTATTTGCAGAAATCCAATGAAGAAAGAGTTAATTCTGCTATCTAGGTACCTTTATAGTCGTCATCATCACTGTAGTACCAGCATGCTTCCAGAAAGGCATGCACACAGTGTAGCAGGACAAACTGTACCACATTTAAAAACAGATTTTGCCAAATTAAGAGTTACTGTAGTGTATGCACAGAAAGGATATGTTGTGCATATTGCATCAGTTCCTTTTCAACCAAACTCCTTCCCCTAACTGCACCATTTCAAGTATAACGGTAATGGGCAAAGGCAAATATGAAAATAAAGATTTATCTCCCTCCACCTTCTGGCAGATGGAGTTCAAATGATGTTTAAAACCTCACCTATTTGTAACCGATTTTAGAACAAAACTTTGTCAATATAATTGCTCTCTACTTTGGTCAAGCTCTTTACTATCTTTTGACTGCAATAAGCAGCTGATCATGTTGTTCATGTAGATCAAGAGGAACTAGGGGATGGAGTGATAGAAATCACAGCCTACACAATAATACTTATCGTGTACGGTCTGAATATCTTCCAATTATTTTTTTTAAAATCACAAGGATCATCCTTTGTTTCTTTCCTTCTCCCATTCAGAATAACTTTTCATAACCAATGAAGCCTTCCAGAGATGATAAAATAAAGCATTGTGTTTAATTTTTTTTTTAGTATTTGTATCATGATAGCACCATGTGATATTCAAGCACATGAGAGATACAGCCCCCAAAGAACTGAGATTTCTGAAGCTCTGCTCAGGTTAAATGGAGGATCAAATTAAACAGTGACTGAATTTAGCAGAAGGCACTTTATTTAAATAGTAGGCTTTAAAAAACAAAATAAGTTCATGCCAAGCCTGTTTAACGTTTTAAAGAATGCTTAGTCATCACAAACTGCTATAGGTACCAACTCCTAGTGCCTGGATTGTCTAGAATGCCCAAATCTGGAAACATGCTTTTATCCTATGAAAGTTGCACCCCTACTTCCTTGGACGTATGGATGAAGTGAAGAGTTCCAGCTACCTTCACAAATCATGGATTGCAGCCGCAATGAAGTTTTGTGGGAAATAATGAAACTACAAAAAGAGGTTAAGTAATTCTCCTAGATATCACTCCCCATTCAGAAAACATCGCGGCGGGGGGGGGGGGGGGGGGGGGGAGGGGGGGGGGGAAGAGAGAATGGGACAAAAAAAATACAGAATCAAGTCAGCCGGAAAAACTGTAGCCCAAACTGAAAGAGATGGATTGAGAGCTGAAAATATTTATGGCAGCATGTGACACGAAAGATCTTCTTGTTAAAAGGGACTTCAGCCTTACACTATTATTATTTTTGAGGGAAGTTCCTTCCAGGCACAGGGTTGTGAGTACTTATTTCCTGGAGGGAGGATCGTTTCAACCAGAACAATATTTGTTCTTGTGTGTAAATACAACTAAATAAAGCCTCTTCTTCCAAGTCACAAATAATTGTTACATCATCTTCATGGACCTCTTTACACAGAGAAGTTTAAAACTTTTATGGACCACAAGCTATGTGCAGATAAACAAGGGGACAGGGCTTGAGAAACAAATCTAAAACTAAAGCAATTTCCCCTCTTAAAGACAACTAATTAACAGTTAATGGTAGAAAAGGAACCTAGTAATAGGTTACATAATGAAGATAACATAATGCAGCATAAATACCTGCTTCATGTTCCTGCACCAAGAGGTGTAAGAAAGTTGTGAGGGCAAAAGATTCAATATGGGATTTTTTTTTTTTAAGTTTTCCTTTGGAGAATAGCATATAAGACCTGTAAACAGTGGCTGATTGTCCAAGCTTTCATAACAATTTGAGCTTTTTCAAAAATATATGTATAAAAAGTTACATCATTAAACAAATTTTTTGGTGAAGTAAGTGTGAGAATTCCATGAGAACGCATAATTCCATTTTATGAGCAGAACTGGGTAGATTGCAGATGAGGCTATGGTTTCTTTATATTCTGTAATGTTAGTACTAGGTTATAGTCCAGAAGGAGTCCTTTAACTTTTTCATGGAATTTCTCCCTATAGTGGTTGAAGTGCATAATACTTTCTGGTTCTTCTTCAAACCAAAATTTGTCAAACTCATAAACCAGATAACCTGTAAAGAAAACAAAATAAAGTTCTACAGAACCTGTGATCCATTCTTTTCTACTTTGGCTCTGGCTCCTCCCAGCCTATTCAGCCTAGAGGAAGAAGGCAATGCCTCATTTTATTCAATAGCAATTCTTCTGGATAGTGTAGGAGTAACTAGCAAGAATGCATGCCTTGGAAAATACTGGATATTTATTAAATTGAGATCTGCTGTATGGATCCATCCACCCAAATTTATCCAATGAAGAAATAGTCAGACATCCAGGTTATAATTCTGGCTTTGGAGGAGCAATGGAGGTAAATGTTTATTTTTCCTTTAAACTATGCTTGAAAATAAATCCATAACAGCACTAAAATATTTTTAATATGTAACAAACTGGCTGAGAATGAATTGCCCTTCTAATAGCTGGCCCAGTTATAATCACATATTACTGCTAACAACTAAAGGAGTTACTCATTTATCTCTAGTGGTAGAGGCCTGGACTTTTGGTAATGAAGGTAGTCCTGCCGCTGATAATCTATAGGAGGGAAGAGTTACAAATACTCACAATAAAACTGATGGAAGTGTTCCATTTGTGGCAATCCAGGGACCAAGTTGTAGAGATGAGACTTTAAAGCACCACTCTTTAGTAAACTATAAGCCATTTCTGTCAAATTGATCCCAACTATTGCATAGGAATATCTGAAACACCAAAAAATTTCCTATTAGATACTAATGAAATCTATTTTCCTGCTGATTTTTACAATTTATTCCATTTTCCAGGGCTAATTTGTATAGAGACAAATTATTATCTGCCAAATTATTCCTATTCTACATTTTGGGTCATTCTAAGAATCAAGCAAAGTCTGCCTCATGCGTATGGAGCATTTTTGTCTGAAGTGCCTTGTACATCTAAGACGAGAGTGAAGTTAAAAGATGGACTGTGTAGGAAATATAAAATTTCATCAACAGCAATGTAGTGAATGCCCCTATTAACCATGCAGAGGCAACAGGATAGGAAGTTTAATCAGCATTGTGATGGGGTGTACCAGCCCGCCACTGGTTCAGCAGGGGTTAATCACAGTCTGTGGGCTGAAGAGGCCACGCCCCTGGCCTCTGCTGGGCATGCTCCGGCTATAAAAGGGAGCAACTCAGCTCAGTCAGGGCTGACTGCCAAAGGGAACAGAGGTGAGCTGCAGGTTCCTGCAGAGGGACAACTGACACTCCAGGACTCAGAGGCCCAGCGGACTGCACCTACCAGCGACTCCCAGGCACCCAACACCAAAGAGGGAAGAGAGGCCATAGGACTACCAAGATGACTAGCTGCGGAAGAACGGGTAGGAAGTAAACCAGGGCAACTTAACAGGAAACTGGTCATAGAACTGGGGCTTGGCTCAGTGTGTTTTGGCAGGATCCCTGCTGAGCAGGAGGTGGGCAACCCTGCCACTGTCAGGGCCTTGGGTTGGGACCCAGTGGAGTAGGGAGGATCTGGGTCCCCCTACCCTGGCTGCTGCCTGTCCTGAGGTGGCAGCCCACCTGTCCAGCCACTCTGGCTATTAGGCCACGTGGCCTTGCGAGGGAGAGCGGCCATAGTAACTCTGGCCACTAGCCCACATGGCCCTGCGAGGGAGGGCACCCTATTGATCCCGACATTAGACCACACTGCCCAGAAGCCAAGGGCGGTCATCCAGATTCAGCAAGCATATAGAAAAGAGGGGAGAGGGGAAAAAAAAAGGCTTTTTAAAAAAAATTCGAAATCTGGTCTACTGCCCTCTTTCCAAATCTACTGTAACACGAACATCACAGCTACCAAAAACACCGCTATAGCAAGAAAGCTAGCCAGCAGAAGCTCAAGTAGATCTTATGTATTTTCATATGTGATACAATTTTCAAAGCTTGTTATCTAGTACAATGTGTTAAATCAGGTACGGTTGCACACACAATTTGAGTCATTGAATAAAGCGCATTTTGGGGCTTTGTCCATGATATCCTGTTTCCACAGGGAGATGGAATTCCAAACACAGAAAATATACCTCAGCAACAACTCTAGGTCTGCTCCTGTTATTCTAATTTTTCATCATTGGGCTTTTTAAACAGAAAAAGTCCATACATAAGTTCAGCAGTCACAAAAAGTGCATCATTTTGAAAAACAAATAATTTACAATATGTTAAAGGATACATGTATATGTTTTCATTGCAGAAGTCTTCATTAATTTTGTAGGATGACTGTTCACAACTTAGATAGGGCAACATTCATGACAAGGCACAAGATGAAGCCTTCCCATGCTTACTATATTAATTATTGAGATAAACCAGAGTTAACTGGGGATTGGGTGGATGAAAGAGGAGTAGTGTCTTGTAAAGTGAGAGATAATAAACAGGCTATCTTTGATTTGTCCAGGCCACTGGATGGGCACTTAATCCATGTAAGTATATATATTGCACTTGGCACAGTGTGCATGAATACATATATCTTGACTAAGTTTGTGTTACTAAATAGAATAAAGGATAATTACTATTTCCTTCCAAATTTAATCCAAATCTGTTAGCCATACTGTTTTGGGGGAAATAAGGGGTTGGAGTGTTTTTCTAGAACAAAACTAACTGAAGACTACAGATTACTAAGGGCACTAAATAGACTGGTTGGAACAAATACGTAGCTATAAACACAGTTTTCAACTCAGATGCTGTAACCACATCTCCAAAAGGACTATTTTACACTTCAGAAATTAATTCCGTTTGTCAATTTCCTATAGAAAGTGTTAAATGTTTTCCTCTTTAAAAAAATCAGAAGATACTCCAATACAGAATTGCACTCTACAAATCTAAGATCTTTGTGAGATCTTAGGCCCATACAAATGGCTTACCCCAATTTTGTATGATTTGAACGAGAGAGGATCTGGCGAGATTCACTGGTGTAATGTTTACTAAAATACCTGAAAAGGAGCAAACAAAAAACTGAATCTAAGGATTGCTACATAAGCAGTTTATTAATTAAATCTAATATTTTCAATAACAGAAGAATGGAATTGTAGACAAATGTGTATTGAAGAAAGAGTGCAGAATGAAAACCAATAAAAGTAAATGGAGGAAGTGACATGTAACAAGGAATGGCATGATAAAGGAGACCAGTGGGATAGAAGTCTTCCAGAGAATTCAGGATTCCCCCATTCAAGCAGGTTTTCATATCTTCTGTTCTACATCATTAGTACTTTTAACTTAGTAATAACTTTATTTTGAAAAGTTTTGATCATTTACTTTCTCAGCTATAGCATAGCAGGCCTATCATACATGGGTAGAATGTTTTATTCTTAAACTCCTTTCTGCTCCTCTTCAACTCTTACAATTTGTAACTAAAACCACCATCTATCCAACTAGATGGTTACAACAATGCAGCTCACTGCTGAAGAACTGTTTACTCATTTAGAAAGGGGCTCATTTTCTATTATTCAGTAATGTATTACAGTAGCCAATATATTTCTATTTGCTTCTACTCAGGTAGTCAATCCAGAGGGAATTAGGAATAATACTAAATAAGAATTCATAGACATAGAAAATTTAAGATTTAGAGAAGAAAAGTATTTATTTTCACTTACACCAGATTGACTAATCCCAGCATGCCCATTCCTCTGAAGTCTGTTTTGGGATCATCACCTTGGAAACCAATGTCACACCACTGCTTGGTGATTCTAGCCTTCAGATTTTCATGAGGCATCAGCAAATTCCAAAGCTACATAAATATACTTCCATGTTACAAATAACACAACTGCCAATGTTTTTCCTAGTCATGTTATTCAGAACATTTATTGACGCATGTCAGATAACAAAATAATTTTGCATTTAAGACACAAGACTAAAAATTGGGAGACATGGATTCTCTATGCTTTGTCACATTTCCTTTTTTCCCTTGGGTAACTCACTTAAGCCCTATATATACTAAAATTATAACCAAGTCAAGGGACAATTAACTCCCTTAGAGCCCGATACTCATTTACACTAAGGCCCCTTTAAGCTGCTCTGGCAGTGCAAAAGGGCCCCAAGTGGATGTAAAAGAGCATCAGGCCCTTAATTTTTCTGGTTGTCAGTCTCCTCATCCACGTAAACCCCAATTCTGCAAACACTTGTGCAAGTGCTTAATTTTAAGCACAAGTACTACCATTGAGTTAAATAAGATTACCCACGTGCTTCAATTGAAACACTTGCATAAGTCTTTGAAGGATCAAAGCCACAGTGAGGATACATATCTATATACAGGGATATTAGAATGCTAAGTTCACTAGTATTTGTAAAACTCATTACATTTCTTGAAGCACTATAAATTATCAAGTACTGTTTGTATGCAGAGGTGTTGGTGGTTTTTTTTTTTTTAATAATTGTGTGCTACTATTTTTGGGGTTTCAGATGGAATAAACTTACTGTAAGAAACCCTTGGGAAAAAGAGCTATTGGTCTGAGATTTGCTTTAGGATATTGTTTAACTTGAGAGAGTCACTTTTACAATTGAAAATAGTAAATATTTTTAAAATGCCAACATGCTATTAAAGGACTTAGCAGTAAGGGGATAAATTAAGCTTTCACATACTATTGGAGACTTATAGTAAAGAGCATTTGTCAGAAACTTATTGAAAAGGCACCTGTCAGAGCTGGTTTATTCCAATTTTTAAAATCAATTTTGCTCTTCTAGTTTATAAAGACCAAATAGCCTGATAGTTATGAATTTAAAGAAAGCTAAACTTCTATGGCTAATTTATTAGCATTCAATTATTCTAGTAATAGTTTAGGACTCAGAATTCCAAGACACCTTCACCTGGATTAGCTGCTTTTCATGTTCTTCGTTATCTGAATCATATGGAACTTTCCTCAGATTTTCCACCTCCAAATAAAGTTTCTTATAACCAGATATCTGCAGCAAACATACCTGCAGGCTTGTCTTAAAACTGAAAAACAAAAAACCCCACAGGAGCTTAAGGGGGGATACATGATAGGATGGCCATAGAGTCATCATTGCTTAGATCATAAGAAAAAGGGAGTACAGGTCCTGCAATATTTAATGTGACACACCAAACTCCTGCAAGCTTTGCCCAACTGGAAAAAAAAAAAAAAACGTCTTCCAGAGAGAAATGTATTACTTTCCTCACCTCAAAATTTTACACTAGTCTAAACTCGAGAGTGCGTAATATTTCATCCAGCTCCAGTGACAAGTCTAAGGGCAATACTTCAATGCTGCACAGCTAGAAATGGGAACATTGCATCTCTGGAAAAGGGGAGAACCGAAGCTTTCCAACATTAAATGCCACACTTGCTTCTAGATTTAAAGGTCATAAGATATCCGAAACTTTGAAACTGTGGATGGTTTTTATGTACAGAAAAGTTTCTTTAGATCATTTTTAGAGTTGTTTTAAATTAGTTATTTTCCCCTCCTCAAGGCCTTTACCGTTACAGGTGGAGAGACACAAAAGAAACTGATCTAACAAGCTTTGTTTTTTTTAAATGAACTCTAAAATAACAATATGTAATAGAGGTTATACACGATGATATGGTAAAGATTTGATTGAGATGACCAGTACAATTTAACTGTGGGTTGGTCAACTGTGAGTAATGCAATTATCCCAAACTCATGCCGCTAAAACCTTTTTATCATACCACATCATATGCACTCATCATCTATACAGCTTAAATCCTTAAAACTGAATTGCAAAGTACGATGTATGTGCTGTATTCCCCAAATAACAGTATCAGATTAGGTGATTCCTTTAATAATCTCTCTCGTCACATACCTATACAATGTTATAAAAGGTAAAATGATGTGATCCAGTTAGAAGTACCTATATAACAGTAGCAAACAACATACCTTGTATCCTTCTGTATATTAATCTTCTTTTCTTTCATTATACCCAGGACACATTTTTCCACTTCAGCTTCACCAATATGTACAGCATTTCTTAACACCTAAGAAATGAACGTAAGTCAAACAATGAATACAAAATGTAACATCTATTTTGTTCCTATTATTTACCAGTCTGTTCATGCCCATTGCATTTGCATCTTTTAAAAATGAAAAAAATATGCGACAGTTTTCAAGGTAAATACATTTTGTGATAAAGCCTTAAGTGTGCTTGCTTTGCCTGTGAAAGAATGAGGATAGTTTCATTCCTTCTTTTTCAGCCAGCTGGTAAAATACATTAAATTAAAAAACATGCATCCTGGACCGTGATCTCAAGATAACTAGTATCAGGCCTGATAATTTTTGGAGGAGAATCCTCAAAGGCAAACTTAGATCCTGAGAGAAGTTGTATTGGCAATTCACTATAACTTAGATTCTGATACCCTTAAACGTGTTAAATAGTACCTTACTCCATTTACTTAGTCCTACTAAAGTCAATGGGATTATTGAGGAGTAAGAATTCTCAGTGACATTTTTCCTCCAATTCAATAATGAACTAACACCTCATCATAAGGAGCAAGTGCACTATTTGGAAGTGAGATGCCAGTGTTAGGATGAGACAGAGGCCTTGACTATGTTGTTACTAACAGCATGCCATACTTTTCCGGAGTGAAGATATTAACCAAAGTCCCAAACAAATTCCAGGACCTAGGTTAATATCTTCATTCTGGAAAAGTGTGGCACGTTTGCTGTTAGTAACAACAAATAGGTTGAGACAGAGGCCTTAATATACATATAACATCCTTGAAAGAGCAAAAATAACCTGCATCAAGGCAATGGTTATCAAAGTTCAACTTAAATGGACAGGTCATGTTATCAGAAAGGATGATGATAGAGTCTCCAAAAAAGTCATTTATGGTTAGCTGAAACTTGGAAAGTACAGGAACGACGGTGAATATAAATACTTCAAAGTCACCCCTAAGCAGAATCTTAACTTGTGCAGCATAAATGTTGATAACTTCAAAGACAGACCTGAATGGAGATCACATATCAATAAATGCTGTAAATACTTGAAGGTCACACTTACAAGATGGGAGAACTCTATTCTAAGAAGCAGTGACTCTGAAAAAGATTTGAGGGTTATAGTGGATAATCAGCTGAACATGAGCTCCCAGTGAAATGCTGTGGCAAAAAGGGCTTTGGATGCATTAGTCCAGTGGTTCCCAAACTTGTTCCGCTGCTTGTGCAGGGAACCTGCCACAGCTACCGGGAGCAGCGATCGGCCAAACCTGCAGACGCGGCAGGTAAACAGCCCGGCCTGGCCCGCCAGGGGCTTTCCCTGCACAAGCGGCGGAACAAGTTTGAGAACCACTGCATTAGTCCTTGATAAACTGGAAAGGGTTTGGAGAAAAGCCATGAGAATGCTTAAAAGATTAGAAAGCATGCCTCATAGTGGTAGACTCAAAGAGCTCTCTATAGCTTAACAAAAAGAAGGTTTGGGGGGTGACTTGATTACAGTCTAAGTACCTACATGGGGAACAAATATTTAATAATGGTCTCTTCAATCTAGCAGAGACATCCAATGGCTAGAAATTTAAGCTAGACAAATTCAGCCTGGAAATAAGGCATAATTTTTTAACAATGAGGGTATTAACATTGGAACAATTTACCCAAGATCATAGTGGATTCTCCATGACTGGCAATTTTGAAATCAAGACTGGATGTTTTTCTAAAAAATATACTCTATTTTGGGGAAGTTCTATTATACAAGAGGTTAGTCTAGAAGATCACAATAGTCCCTTCTGGCTTTGGAATCTATGAACCACTTTGAGAAAGACACAAAAGGTTAGTAGCGACTGGACATCTAACATAGTGAATGCTAGTGAAAATGAGCTAGAATCAGAAACTAAAATAGGGAAAGAACAAGTTAAAAATTACTTAGACAAGTCACCAGGGCCTGATGAAATACATCCTAAAATACTCAATGAGCTGATTGAGGAGGTATCTGAGCCATTAGCGATTATCTTTGAAAAGTCATAGAAGATGGGAGAGATTCCAGAAGACTGGAAAAGGGCAAATACAGTGCCAATCTATAAAAAGGGAAATAAGGACAACCTGGGGAATTACAGACCAGTCAACTTAACTTCTGTACCCAGAAAGATAATGGAGGAAATAATTAAGCAATCAATTTGCAAACATTTAGAAGGTGATAAGTAAGTCAGTATAGATTTGTCAAGAACAAATCATGTCAAATCAACCTAATATCTTTCTTTGACAGGCTAACAATGGGGGGGAAGCAGTAGATGTGGTATATCTTGACTTTAGTAAGGCTTTTGATACTGTCTTGCATGACCTTCTCATAAACGAACTAGTGAAATACTACCTACCTGGACCTACTATAAGGTGGGTGCTTAACTTGTTGGAAAACCATTCCCAGACAATAATCATCAGTGGTTCAGTCAAACTGGAAGGGCATATTGAGCAGGGACCCGTAGGAATCAGTTATGGGTCCAGTTCTGTTCAATATCTTCATCAATGATTTAGATAATGGCATAGAGAGTACACTTATAAAGTTTGCGGAGAATACAAAGCTAAGAGGGGTTGCCAGTGCTTTGGAGGATAGGATTAAAATTCAAAATGATCTGGACAAACTAGAAAAATGGTCTGAAGTAAATAGGAACAAATGCAAAGAGCTCCCCTTAGGAAGGAGCAATCAGTTGCACACATACAAAATGGGAAATGACTGCCTAGGAAGGAGTACTGCAGAAAGGGATCTGGGGATCATAGTGGATCACAAACTAAATATGAGCCAACAGTGTAACACTGCTGCCAAAAAAAAAAAAAAAAAACACAACAACAACATACAGGGATGTATTAGCAGGAGTGTTGTAAACAAAACACAAGCGGTCATTCTTCCGCTTTACTCCACACTGATTAGGCCTCAGCTGGAATATTGTGTCTAGTTCTAGGCCCCACATTTTGGGAAAGATGTGGACGAATTGGAGAGAGTCCAGAGAAGAGCAACAAAAATGATGAAAACTCTAGAAAACATGACCTATGAGGGAATATTGAAAAAAATTGGGTTTGTTTAGTCTGGAAAAGGGAAGTTTGAGGGCGGGGGCACAATCACAGTTTGAGTACATAAACCGTTCTTACAAGGAGGAGGGAGGGAAAACTGTTCTCCTTTAACCTCTAAGGATAGGACAAGAAGTAATGGGCTTAAATTGTGGCAAGGGTGGTTTAGGTTGGACATCAGGAAAAACTTGTTAAGGTGATTAAGCACTGGAATAAATTACCAAGGGAGGTTGTGGAATCTGCATCATTGGAGATTTTTAAGAGCAGACTAGACAAGCACTTTTCAGAAATGGTCTAGATAGTACTTAGCCCTGCCATGAGTGCAGGGGACTGGACTAGAGAACCCCCTGAGGTCTCCTCCAGTCCCACAAGTCTATGATTGGGGGGGGAAAAAGGGCCATGCATCATACCAAGTTTTCAGTGGGAGCCTACACATCCCTATGTGACATCTGTTCGCAACCTTGTGCCTCACAGATTGGAGTATACAGCCACAACAGAACACACAAGATGCCACAATGTCATTGGTATAGTATGGCTGTCTGTAGTATTTAACAATGACATTGTGGCGCTATGCATTCATAAAATAGTTTTCATTCCATTCCCCAACAGCTACATTTCAATAACGTGAGATGGGATTCATGAGCGTGTGTGTGTGTGTGTGTGTGTGTGTGTGTGTGTGTGTGTGTACACAAAGGGTAAACCATTCTGGGGTAAGATACTCTAGAAATTTAAGATATTAAAATCATAATTAAGACATCTGGTAGAACCTACTCAATGTGCTCATATCATAACAAAAATTTGTTTGTGGCAGTCACAAATTCTTTCAGTACCACTTGGCAGTGATTAGACAGAAGAGAACAGTCAGTCATCTTTGTAGAAAAACATTTAGTTTAAGATAAGATAAGCAAATTTGAGGGTCTAATACTTTGACAGTATTCCTTTAACTGATGCTGAACAGCCAAGTATGTATTCATATTCCATTTGCTTCAATTATACAGCACTACTACATGACACCATGCATAATAGATCTAGCATTGAAAGGATTACGTATCACATTTCCATTTTCTACAAAAGATTTTTAGTCTGCAAATCGCATTCCTACCTAGTAGCTTCATTTTTGCTGTGCAGATCACTGAGGTCTTGATACCATGACAAAAATTACATTAGGAATTAGACTACTTTTGTTCTATTCAAATAATCTATTCAATTTTACATATATTTCTGAATTAGAGTAGAAATATGGATAAAACTGAGCATATTGAGCATTATTCTGTATAAAACTTTAACAGAAAAACAGTGAGAGAAAATTTTACTCCAGCACATATTCTGTCATGAATACATACCCAAAAGACACTGAAAGCTATCAAATTCTAAAAGTAAGTATTACTTTAAGGGCATATTTGTCTCTAAAAATTGGTATTCTGGTATAGTGTGTTATCTCCATTGACTCCTACCTTACTCTTTGATAATCCCAATGAGTACTCTGTAATACAAGACAAATAATTATATCACTACAACTGTTTTATATATTGAATTCAAACTTTTGACGAGTTACATCATTGACAACACATTTGTAAATAGTATGTCTAACCAGTGTTTTATTAGGGTTGCATCAGCAATTAGTCACCTGTTAATTTAAAATTATCCTTAAGTGACAATACTGAATTGAAAATCTTTTGCATGATGTAAATCTATCACCATCTTTATGAATATAGCAACCTGAATACTTTTGTAGTTTTTAAATTTACTCCATTACAATGTCAGTTTAACAGCCTGGAAAGATGAGGAGCCAGTTTGAAAGAGATAACATAGCTGTTGTGTATTTAGGAATATCTTTCTTTCCAAGCTCATTTAAAAACATTCATTTATACTAACAGGAGTTTACAAAAGAACATCATACTTTGTACATTTTCCTACTACTGTTAAAATGGCAACCAAGATTGGCTTACAAATAAGAGAAATTACTTATTTTAGATTTACATGTTGCATTTGACATCACTTTGTGTGTAGTCATTTTCAGTGTTTCCCCTTTAGAATTAATTTCCATGTTTGTGTGGGTCTTTCAAAGAAAACAGCTTTTTTTTTTTTTGGTTTTAAATAGGAAATTGTGATGGTAAAACAAAAAAAATTGGCCAGAGACTCAGCAGAAGGTGTAACACCTTTTAGCTCATTTTTTGAAGCTGACTACATTTCCCTTGGCTAGCAGGGAAAGTAAAGTATATCTTTTGGACCTTTATTTTTTTAGTAATTAAAGCTTAAGTAAAAGCATTTGTAGTTTATATACAATATGATGCACTTTGCTTTTAAAGTAAATTTAGAGTCCATGAGAAAGGCATTGGCCTGGCAGGCAATACAGGAAGCAAGTTAAAAAACAGATACAACACAGGAAGTATGTCAGCTTTCTCACAACGCTTTGCCAAAATGCTTCTAGAAGACCTCTAGCTGCCAATTCCAGCAATGAACATAATAGACGTATCTAGGGCCCATGTAACCCTTGCTCCCTTGAGTCTGCCAATAGGAGTACAGTATCAATAATGATTTAGACGTTTTCCCCACTTGGACCGGATGTGAAACCAACCATTTTTTCAGGTATGCCTTCAAACTGCTGTCACACAGATTAACTGTTACTAAACCTATGTGCAAGAGGAACTGGCTGTCCAGTTGCAAGCTCTAACGTACTTTTTAAAAGATTACATCCTTCATTACCTATCTTTAGCGTTCGTTGTGAACCTTCCTTTGAGCTACCAAAGATACGCTGTAATTCACATTTTCCAGTGAGCTGCCTCAAGATCCATTTCAGCCAAAACCGGAAGAAGTTACTATACAGGTATCCCCATAAGTACACAAACATTTTCTGTGCAAAGAGAGTGACAACTGATCACAGGGCATTCGTTGTCTGACACTACAGAAACAATTGTACAATCTGTCTGGGCTGCTAGCTCTTGCTAAGCTGCTAATGATGGTAACATCTACTCCCTCTCACGTGGCGAACACTCTTCATCTGCCAGAAATGAAAGGCTGAGTCCCCCCTTAGCTGCAAAGGGTAAAGAAGGAGAGACGCTTTGTACTAGAGCTGGCGATTGGGGAGGGTCAATGCCAAGCCTTAAGGGGGGAGGCCTGGAAGCACTGCCAGAGCAGGACACAGGCTGCCAGGCACCGCCCCAGCCTCCTCTTTGCTCTGCCCAAACACCTCCCCGCTGCCCTGCAGCCCGAGGGGGGGGGGTGGCAGCTATGCCCACCGAGAAAAATGCGCAGGGGCCGGGGGATGGTAGCGAGGCCGAGCGAAAGCGAGGCTGTTGCCCTATCGTTCATCCGGACAGGTGTCGGTGGGGGGGGGGGGCACACAACGCCCAATGTCCGTTGAAAGGAGGGGAGGAGATTGGCCCAGCGGCAGCTGCTGCCCCCAGCCAGTCAGCGGGGAGCAGGTGGATGACGCGTCCTAGCACGGGACACCCCGCTGGACTAGCCGCCTGCCCCCTCCCAGGCGGGGCAATAGTTCTGCCCGCGCCCTACCAATGAGGGCGCGCCCCCCGCCCGGTTACCGCCAGCGGGACAGGCACTGCTCACGTCGTCCTAACCAGTGAGTGGGGCTGGCTCCGGCCTAGCCCCGCTCTAGCGTCCCCCGGAAGGAAACCGGCCACCGGCTGACCCGGAAGTGATTGATGGGGGCGAGGTAAGGGCCAGTTAAACAGCTGTTCCGCGCAGTTCTGCGGTTAATCGCTGAAGTGCCCCGCCCCTCGGCCAGCGTGTCGCGTGCGTAGCCAGGGGGACGACCTAAGTGGGGAGGGAGACAGGACTCGGCTCCTCCACTCCTCACCGTCCAGGTAGAACAACGGTGCCAGGGCGCTCTCCAGACCCTGGCCGGCACGAGCCATTCAGCGAGCCGGGGCAGGGACGAGGTGCGCGCAGCCCGCTCCCCTCCACCTGCGCTAGTTCCGGCCGGGCCCCGGTTCCACTGCCCCCCTAGGGGCGAGGGGTGGCTGGCGGAGCCCCAGGTGGTGTCGGGCAGCAGTTAGTTGTCGGAGCGGGTTCCTAAGGCGTGAAGGGGACTCGTGCTCGGCGGGCGCTGGGCACCCGTCTCCTCTGCCTGCGGAACTCGCCTGCTCAGCGCTATGGAGCAGAGCGGTCGGGCCGCGCTGCAATAGTCAGGCTCCCCGGCGCAGTCCTGGCTCATTGGGAGGTAGGGTAGGTAATAGCGGCTTGTGATGGGCACCTGGTCCTGCTCCCCCCGCAGACTCCGCCTGGTATGTCCTAGCTGGAGGCCTCTATGCCGTCGCCTTGGCGTTCATGTAACACACGTGGAGATAGGCAGAGCCAGACATTATGACGTTAACAAGCACGTGACTGTGTCTAGCAGGCCAGGTAATCAGCAGCAGATAGTCCGAAAGGACCAGAAACCTCTTATAGTATCATAGAATATCGGGGTTGGAAGAGACCTCAGGAGGTCATCTAGTGCAACCCCCTGCTCAAAGCAGGACCAATCCCCAACTAAATCATCCCAGCCAGGGCTTCATCAAGCCTGACCTTAAAAACCTCTAAGGAAGGAGATTCCACCACCTCCCTAGGTAACCTCTCTGCCTAAGTTACCACCATCATTGCTGTTCCTAGGGTCAAGCTGGCTCTGCTGTGTTTGATTGAGATTCATTATAAGGGTCTCCCTCCTGTCCTATGTCTGAAAAAATGAAGAATCTATGTGAGAAAAGAATAGCTGACAAACATCTCAACAAAACCCTGCTCTGTAGACACAGCCTACACTGACAGAAGGGTGTAGAAATGCCATCTCCCTAAGCACTTTTCCATCTGTGTCTGTACAGGTGAGTTGTCAGCATAGCTGTGTCAGCCAAAGGTTTGGGGTTTGTTTGTTTTTTTCCCTCTATATCACAAGCTGATACAACTCTTCAGGGTAGACCAGATGTTGGTAGGCGGAGGAAAAAGGTTTGTCTTTCTCTCCCCCCCCTTTTTTTTTTTTTCTCTTTAACAGTAGCTCTAAAAGAAAGTGCAGATCAAGAGCTCAAGGTGCATTTGATGAATTTAAAATAGATAGAAGCCAAGGTAGCAAGACTAACCAGAAATTCTTTTTTTCAGCTTAGGCTGACTTGAAGATTGTGTCCCTGTAACCTGCTGATCTGTATGTGTTCTGTGCATAGGCGGGGACTGTAATAGACTTGCATCCTTTGAGTCAGGCACAGAGGCAGATATATAACACTTGCTATCCTGTGCTTTACATCTCTCACTGTAGGACACAAACACACTCATAGTGATCTGTGCTTGGCCACATCAAAGCTAGCAGTGTGCTATATGCAGGGCTGAGCCTGAAGACTACCCGTAAATATAGCAACTGATCTATCAAAAAGCAGGTGCCTAGTAGGTAGGGCAAATTGTTGTACATGGATTATCCCAAAACTCAGCATCCCTCATTGGTTGCTTATCTATTACCCAGGTCTGTAGTGCTGCCAGAGCAGTCCATAGCATCACTCAAGCATGTGAAACCTATGATGATGTTACCCTCCATCACCTTGAAAAACTATGCTCAGGCAGCTTGGCCATGTCATTTTCTGAACCTCAGGGTATGCCTATGATGATGATAATGATGCTGCTGCACTGTCCCCTCCATGCTTCTATGACTCTCTGCTCTTCCCCCAACCATGCTCCATCAACCCCACCCTCAGTATGTCACACCTCCCATGAAATAAAAGGGATGGTCCTCTCATGGAGCAGTAATTGGTTAAAAGATAGGAAACAAAGGGAAGGATTAAATGGTCATTTTTACACTGAAGAGAGGTAAATATAAGGGTCCCCCAAGGATCTGGGACCTGTGCTGTTCAGCATATTCATAAATGATGTGGAGAAGAAGGTGAAGAGTGAGGGTAAAATTTGCAGACAATACAAAATTACTCAATATAGTAAGTCCAAAGCTTTGTGTGAAGAGTTACAAAGGGATCTCACAACCCAGTGACAAAATGACAGATGAAATTCAGTGTTGATAGGTAAGGCTGCATGTCTGTCATGGAGGTTTTGGAAGTCATGGATTCCGTGACTTTCCATGAACTTCTGCAGCAGCCCGTGTGGCTGACCCCAGGGCCGTCCAAGCAGCTGGCCCTGGGGCCTGCTGCTCAGGCAGCCCCAGTGATAGCCACACCGGCTGCTGCTGGAGCGGCCCCATAGCCAGCTGGTCAGGTTGCCCTACAGTCCGTCACACCGGCCACTGCTGGAGTGGCTCCAGGGCCAGCCACACCAACTACTGCTCAGGCAGCCAGAGCAACAGCTGGTTGGTGGTCCTGGGGGTGGCCAAAGCAGCCGCTGCTTGGCGGCAGCTGGCCCTGGGGACCATCTGGGCAACGGCTGGTGCTACTGGCCCGAGCAGCAGCGGTGCTCTGGGTGGGTGCCCTGGGTGGGTGCCCCCGCTGCAAGAGCAGCAGTGCCCCAGGCAACCTCCCTCCTCCACCTCCCCCCCAAGAGCAGCGGTGCCCCGCCCCCTCCAGTTAAGCTAAGCCCCGCCACCAGACCATGAATTTTTGTTTATTGCCTGTGACCTGTCCATGAGTAAATCATAGCCTTCTTGATAAGTGCAAAGTAATGCACATTGGAAAAATTAATCCCAACTATATGTACAAAATGATGAGGTCAAAATTAGCTGTTACTATTCAAGAAAGATCTTGGAGTCATCGTGTATAGTTCTTTGAAAACATCTAATCCGTATGCAGTGGCAGTAAAAAAGCTAACAATGTTAGGAACCATTACGAAAGGGATAGATAATAAAGCAGAAAATATAAATCCCTGGTACACCCTGTGATGGGTGACCCCACACTGAACAAGTGGGGATTAACCACATTGGATCCAAGAGGCCATATCCCCTAACCTCTGCTGCACATGCTCCCGGTGGAGGGAGCAGATAAAAGGAGGCTGGTCAGCTCAACCTGGGCTAACTGAGGAGGATGAATGTATGCTGTTGAAGAATGGTCAGCCTGCTGAAGCAGAGATCCCTGTCTATTGTGACAAAGTTCTGTCCTTGACTCCGTGGGTCCTGCATTTCCTGATAGATTTTGCTAGCCTCAGAGGCTCACTGTGACCCTCCACATAGCCCTACTCTCTCTAGAGGCAAGGGTCACAGTCTACTGAGCCATTTTCATCATAAGCCAGCAAGGGAGGTGAGGAGAAGCAACCCTCCCTCACACAGTCTCTGTTGTCTCCCAGTATCAGTGATTAATCAGGGAGGGGAAGGGGGAGCCCGGGCCCACCCTCTACTCCGGGCTCCAGCCCAGGGACCCTAAAATTAGCAGCTATGGAAGCTGACTTTCTGGAAATAGGACACGTACAATTCACTGGGCCACTTCCCCACAGCAGCCCCCACTCAATATCTTCTTCACAGTTACCTCAGGGCCTCCTTCCTTACACCTGATATAGCTTTGTACTGCTTCATTCCTCCAACAGCACAACTCCCTTCTATAGCTCCTGACACTCACACCTCACTGACTAACTGGGAGGCTTTTAACTAGTTCCAGCCAGTCCTTGATTGGTTTCAGGTGTCCCAATCAATCTAGCTACCTCCACTGCCTTCTAGAAGGATCTTAATTGGGCCCAGATGTCTTGATTAACCTGGAGCAACTGCCATTTGGTTACCATGGTACCAGGGATTTGTTTAGCCTGGGGCTAACATACCTGTTCCTCACTACTTTACTGTAGCCATCTGGCCTTGCCCCATCACACTATGTTATGGAGAACCCTCCAGCTGTCGAGATTGATGGGGACACCAAGCTGGTGCTCACAGAAGAGAGGTCTGAAATGGACTTAAGGCTAGGAATTGACCCAGGGAATATATTGGGAGTCAGTACTTGAATCCTGAACAGGAGGTTGCTAGCTGCACGTGGCCCTGGATTGGAACCTGGTGGAGTAGCGTGGGCCTGGGTCTTCTATCTTGTGTTGGCAGGTGAGCATTACTGCTGGAGATTCTAGCTATAGACTGTTTGTGCTCTGCCCCATCCAGGGGGCTGAAGCCTCTTTGTTATTGTTTGCCTTAGCCAAAAGGTCGGGGGGCTACAGACTGTTCCTTGAAAAACAACAAGGAGTCTGGTGGCACCTTAAAGACTAACAGATTTATTTGGGCATAAGCTTTCGTGAGTAAAAACCTCACTTCTTCGGATGCATAGAGTGAAAGTTACAGATGCAGGCATTATATACTGACACATGGAGAGCAGGGAGTTACTTCGCAAGTGGAGAACCAGTGTTGACAGGGCCAATTCAATCAGGGTGGATGTAGTCCACTCCCAATTCCAGGAGAGGAAAAGCTGCTTTTGTAATGAGCCAGCCACTCCCAGTCCCTATTCAAGCCCAGATTAATGGTGTTGAATTTGCAAATGAATTGTAGTTCTGCTGTTTCTCTTTGCAGTCTGTTTCTGAAGTTTTTTTGTTCAATGATAGTGACTTTTAAATCTGTAATAGAATGACCAGGGAGATTGAAGTGTTCACTTACTGGCTTATGTATGTTACCATTCCTGATGTCCGATTTGTGTCCATTTATTCTTTTGCGGAGGGACTGTCCGGTTTGGCCAATGTACATGGCAGAGGGGCATTGCTGGCACATGATGGCATATATAACATT